AGGCGCACACACACAGGCACACACACAGAGGCACACACACAGAGGCACACACACACAGGCGCACACACACACAGGCACACACACAGGCACATACACACACAGGCACACGCACACAGGCACACACACACAGAGACACACACACCCAGGCGCACACACACACAGGCACACACACACAGTCACACACAGACACACATGGGCACACACAGGCATACACACACAGAGGCACACACACCCAGGCACACACACACACAGGCACACACACAGAGGCACACACACACACACACACAGGCACATACACACACAGTTCTTCTCACATGACCAGATCACACACACTCTGGAGCCTCTGCCACCCCGCTTCTCTCTCTTCTGGTGACTGCCAGGCCTTGCACCCCTTGGCACAGTCCCCATGCTCTCCTGGTGTTGGTGGCCTCACATCCGGCCAGCGCCAGGGTGACTAACGGTTTCCCTTGGGAGGGACCCCACAGCCGACCAACACAAACACCCCCAGTGTCTTCTCTTGGCTCAGCAGGACGGCACAGGCTGCAGGCTGGGCGCCTGGGAGACGGGCCTGTGGGGCTAGCCACTCCCTGGCTCTGTGACCTCCTGCAGGCGTGTGTCCTTCCAGGCCCCGGCTCCCCGGCAGTCCACACCTCCGAACCGCCCCTACCCCTCACCCCCAGAGCCCCCACACTCCAGGCCCAAGGGAGCCGTGGCTGCTGCCTGCGCCACGGTGGCGGGGCGGCTCAGAGGGAGACACCAGCAGCCAGGAAAGGCATCTGGGGGATGTGGGGGGGCAATGGAGAATAAGCGCAGGAGGGAGCCTCTCCCTGAGGCCTCTGCCCTGCACTGAATGCATGGGCCCCACAGGCAAGGAGGTCACGGTGGACCCCTGGGCAGGAGAGGGCACCTCCTGTCAGGAGCCCTTAGTGGTCTCTGAGTCTCTGTGTCCTCAGGAAATCATGCAGGGTCCTGGCCAGGGTTAGGGAGCAGAAACTCAAGGTGCCTGAGGAGCCACTGGGCCAGCTGTACAGATTGGCTGCCAGGACAATGGCACAGGGCCCCGTGCTCAGGAGGGGGCCTGCACCCAGGGCTCGGCGCACCTGCTCAGTCACTGAGAGAAGCGACGGCTCCAGGACCTCTCCAGCTCCTGCCCGGCCCCCTCTCAGAAGCCCTTCCTTCGCACACATCCCAACGTGTGTGTGCCCAGCTCCCCCAGGTGCTCCTGTGAGGCCACCTCTCCCAGGAAGCCCCCCAGTGCACCAGCACTTATTTTCAATTCTCAAGTTAGGCTGGAACTGTCTCCCTCAAGCCGCACCTGGGACCCACAGAGCAGGGGCTGCATCCTCTGCATCTCCTGACGCCTGGCATATGGGACGTGATCTGGCAGCTCCTGATGCCAGGGGCTCCTCGTCCCTTCAGGAGTGCCGTTGAGGTGAGTCCTCCACTCTCCAGGGTCCCTCTTTGGCCTGCAAATTCCTGGCCTCCCAGGGTGTCCCCCATGTAGGATGGTGTCAGCCCACACCCACCAGTGCTTGTGGGGGTGTTGCTGCCATATGGCCCTGGTGCTGGGGAGACCACCTGCCGTTAGAAGGGGACTGTTGGCCGGATGCAGTGACTCATGCCTGTAATCCCAGCACTTTGGGAGGCCAAGGCTGGTGGATCACCTGAGGTCAGGAGTTCAAGACCAGCCTGGCCAATGTGATGAAACCCCATCTCTACTAAAAATACAAAAGTTAGCCGGGCGTGGTGGCGTGTGCCTGTAATCCCAGCTACTCAGGAGGCTGAGACAGGAGAATTGCTTGAACCCCGGAGGCAGAGGTAGCAGTGAGCCGAGATCGCACCACTGCACTCCAGCCTGGGCGATACAGTGAGACTTCGTCTCAAAAAGAAAAATAAAAAGAAGAAGGGGATTGTCTCCACCAGTGCTTTCTGGATATCTGAGGAGCTTAGAAGCAGGACAGCAGGAAAATGTGTGTGGGAAGCCCGGGAGGGTGGGGTTCAAGGGAAACACGTCGGGGATGGAGAGGCAGGCTTGGGACAGAGGGGCCGGTGGGCCGTGGCTGATGGCTTTAGATGTTCCCTGGGGAGAGTGTTAGACAGCCGCATTGGGAGCAGGGCCTGTCCTCACAGCAAGCGGCCACAGCAAGTTCAGGAGTTTAAGGACATGGTCCGCGCTATGGGAAGTGGGTCCTCTCTCTGGCACCCAGAGGCCTAGCAGGCCTGGTCTCAAGAGTGGCCCCCAATCCCACCTTCCCTGGCATCCTGTGGTCCTTCTCTGCTGCCAGCCCAGGACCCAGAACATCCTAGGAGCCTCCTGGGCAGACCCAGCCAGAGTTCTCACACTTAACTGGGATGGGGCCACCAAGGGACCATGCGGCCAGCCAAGAGGTGGCTGGCAGGCCAGGAAGA